CACAGCAGGAAGCAAAGCATGTTTCATGACATCTGTGTCCACAGTGTGCTGAAGCAGAACACAAACCAGTCCTCATGTAATCAGTTGACTCTGGAAAGGGGAAAACCTACATCAACATTTCATCTCACATGCAATGAAACAAAGAACCATTTGGTACTGAGTGTGTCTTTTATAGGTCACTTCCTGCCAAGACAAATTTCAGTGACTGTAAAAATAAAAAACACAAACAAACAAAAAGAAGTAATGCAGTAAAGGCCAAGAACTCTGCTTTGCTTCACTAACCAAATCAAAAAGACCCACTCAACCAAACCTAGTGTTTTCCTGGTTCATTGATGGCAGCTCAAGATCCAGAGATTACTCCCATGGGGAATGGGGCAGGACAACATGAGCTGTTGAGGAACAAACGAGAAGAGTTTTCCTGTACCAGAGCTGACATAGCAGGAAACCTTTCCTTTAGCAGAAATGCACAGGAACTTTTTGCATAAGGAAGAGTATTCCTTTGAACTGTGTTAAATGTGCACATTGCCATCCTAATTTCAAGTAATTTTAGCAAGTTTCATATTAGGAGCCTTAAAAAAAAAAAAAGCTCTCAAACACACACAAAGCAATGCACATACAAGGTAACCAGACACTGTAGGCAGCAGGACAGCTTGAAGAAGGCAATTCAAAGCCTCAGCCTCTCTTCTAGCATCCATAGTTGAGTTTGTCCCTCCCATTCCTGTGTCCTCCCAAGCCAGATCATCAGGCAGGAGCCCAGCTCTGCGGTGGCTGCTCTAGTTCTCCCCAAGGATGGGTTCCCACATCTACACCCTCCGAGGCATGGTCACACAGCAGCCATCCACGCTGAACACCACACTCTTCCTCTGGCAGTTTCTCTGCCTCGCTCCAAGATCACAAAACATTTGTTGCCTCTTTCCTGAATGTGTTGTTTAAATTAGAGGATACCCTACCACAGCCACCAAGCAAGAGGACCTCAAATGCTCACCTTGCAACACACAGCCTAACATGGAGGAAATAACTAAAAATCCCTGGTGGTAAATAGATTGTGTTTCTATACCTTTACCTGTGTCCAGCGCTCACACTGTGTTGAAGTTCTGCCCCACTGTCTCCGATTACACCACAGCACTCCACTGAAGCCACAATCTTCAGGAGAGTGTGACAACAGCCCCAAAACAGCTGCAGCATCTACTTTGAAAGTCAGGTAAAAAAGACTCCACCCTCAAATGGGGAAAATAAAAGGCTGACAAATGTTAGCATCAGGCTCTATTACAAGCAGGTGTTGCTCTACTGCAATTGTGTGTGAAAAAAAACCCCAGCCACTTACAAAGAACAATTAGATACCTGACATCAGCCCTTCATTGAGAGGTAGTTCAGATTTTGGAGCAACTTCTGAGCCCTTCTGACAAAACCAGTCCCACCTGCTCCCTTCCTCACCTTGCACAGGACTTTGACAGCATGACACATCATAGGATCTTCCACCTCTCCATCTCCTGACTCCGTCCCAGCCACCAAGGGAGCTCATGCTTGCCTATGACCAACGCAGGGATGGTGAACATGGTTCACTTGGAATCACATGCACAAGGTGGCCGAGAATTAGCCCTGCTCCTGGCCATGAGAGAGTCTCACAGGAGAACTATGCTATGATACCTCTAGCCAAGTTACTTAATAGCTTATGGGACATGAACAACCTAAAAGCCCTTCAGTCCAGGGGCTAAAAGAACATCACATAGAAAATCACAGCATTTCACAATGCCTGTGACAACCCAATCAAGGTCTCATTGTCTGAGTGGTGAACTATTCTTGTTGGTCACTCCAAGCAGGGATACTTTTATTTATATATAGTGCAAATATAAAAAAAAATCCAACACACCACTTACGAGCCGAGCGGATCACTGCAGCCCTAAAGCACACTGAGATTCCAGCTCAGATGCCAATTCAGTTACTACTTCACCCAGCTACAAAACTGCTTCAAACATGAAAACTTCCTTAAAAGGACCCTATCAAGGCATTTTCATATCACTTTTATTAACTGTTTTTTTGCAATAAATCATCAGAAGACTGAATCCAGAATCTCAATTCTTATTAACCATTTCTATGCACACCAGCTTGCTCTTAGAGAATTTTCTGTGTGTATTATCAATGGAAGTTACAGCATGCGCAGGACTGAGAGGGAAGGGGAGGAAAAGCAAGGATTAATCCTCAACTCATGAACAACCAAGACCCCTCTTTGAAAGGGATTCAATGAAAACTTCAGATGACCAAAGAATGCACCATTGGTTTAATGAATGACGACACAGATTGCACAACAAGACACACAGCCAGACTGTGCTTCCATTTTTGAGCACAAATTTGGCAGTGTCTCCATAGAAATATTTCCCTTATTACGGTCAACAGGCTGCAAAGCAGTTGTTCAGTGCAGTCCTAAAAAGACCACAGCCCTATTTAAGAATTAGCAGTGTTGTAATTGCCAGGGATTTCCACTGGAAGAGCTTGGAAAGAAACACAGACATCTCCCTCGCCACACATTTTCATAACATTAGACCCATCTCTTTCCTACACTCTGTCAAAAATGACGCCAACCACGCTTCACTTGCATGACAGCAAGCTTGGCAGCATGACTTTAAACACACACACCTCCTAATCAACCAAATCAGGAGAAAAAAAAAAAAAAGTCTTCAGCTTCACGATTGCCATTTAGGGGCTTCTAAACAGTCTTTTATTCATCACTTCAGCTTCACGATTGCCATTTAGGGGCTCCTAAACAGTCTTTTATTCATTGAACAGATCCATAGCAAAGAATATTTTATACTAAATGCAGACACACAGGCCTCCCCAGACCAAATCACAGTTCACATTTTTCATACAATCCAGGTCATAGCAGGGCTAGATTTAAGCATCATCCAAGAAGACAAACAGGTTTCTTGATAAATTGCAGCCTTTAATCACTCTTCAGCACTTCCACAGATCAGCTTTGCCTTTAAAACACATTTGTCTTCTCAACACACTCTTCCCCCAGCTAGGCTCGCACAGTATTCATATTAAGACAGTCACCCCCTACTCCAAGGGGGTGCCACTTGGGATGCTAAGCCCTGTGCCCCTGGCAGCAAGGCCTGGCTTCTCCCCTGAAGAGCTTCAGAAACACTGGCTCCCAGGTGAGAGCAATCCTTTCCCACCTCTAAGGAAACATGTATAGCATAACCAAATCCAAAGGAAAAGGGTCTTTGATTTCAATACCCCCCTTATGCTTCCAGACCTGCTCTGTCACTGGTCAGCAAAGATGCCAACTGTCTGCAGACAGTCCGGCTCCTATTCACATTCCATTTTTAAAGCATCATCTGCTCACCAGGGGAAAAAAGGATCAGCCACAAAACATTCACAAAAAATAATAAAAAAAAGCAAACCTAAAAGCTATGTGACTGCAGATGTGAACTATTCACAAGCTACACTTTCAATAGCCACCCATCACACCTGCACACACAGTTTTCTGTCTTAACTAATTTTGGTGGCAGTTTGTTTTAGTTTGGTTTTTTTTTTTTCTTTTCAGGGGTTCCGCATGGTTTGTTTTTTCTTTCAGTTATTGGAATGTTTTTTGGAAAGCAGATCACATCGCCACAAGCATCATGTCAGCAGCAAGACCCAGCATGCAGATACCAGCCAGCAACTCACACAGCATGGGTTTACCCTCCCCAGTCCAACGGCTCTTACATAAGCTATCACAGAGGGAGATACAACCAGCAGAGCCAGGACATGGGCTGAGAAGCAAACAGCATCTCGTTATTTTCAAGGTCGAGGAAAAAAAAAAAAAACCCTAACCCCCAAATCACACCTTATTATTCACAGCTGCCTATGAACCAATTCAGCACCAGTGCTTGCTTCAACTCAAATCATACTCCAGCTCCCCACAATTACAGCCTACCTGTAAATAAAGAATTCTCCAACATACTTCCAACAGGGGTGTATATGTGTGTGTGTAGAAAATGCACACCTCTAGAGCACCACTTCAGTGCGAGTTTGGATTTCACACAGATTTACACACCAAAGCACCTTTCCCATGTCCCCCCCCAAGCCCCAGAGCAAACCCAGCCAAGCAGGGAGGACACAGGTTAGGAGGCAGTACCTGCATCCATACAACGTAAAACAGATGCTGCTGGAATTTATCACTGATAAAATCACAACTTTAGAGGAGACAGCTTTAAAAAGTACCACTAGTCACATTCCAGAGAAGAGAGATATTGCTTTTTTTTGGTTAAACGAAAGGGGAGAGAGGAAGGAAAATAATTGCTCTCAAGAATAGCTCCAAAAAGGCGTAGTCTGGGAATCCCTTCTAGGTGAGACACTTAAAACAAAGAAGATGGAGTATCCCACTCTCTTCAGGGAAGGATGCTTCCTGATAGAGACAGGGCTCCCACACAAGAAAGCGATTTTTATGCAGAGCTATGAAGACCAACACACCCCATTGTCCACCAGCAGGAGCTTTCCTGCATTCAGAGAGGCGGCAGCACAGGCCAGGCTTTGAGGGGGGGAAGTGGGGGGGAAAGGACAGGACACTCAGGGTCTTTCAGGTGTCTTTACAAATAGCCCCGAGGAAGGGGGAGCTGCAGGGTAAAGGGAATTAGGAAAAAAACCGCAGTGCCGTTCAAGGGAATCAGAACAAGGAGAAGGACAGGTCAGGGCCTTTTCAACAATGGCACTGCCAATGCTTTGGGCCAAAACCCAAAAAACAGGGAGAAAAGGCACAGACAAAGGGGGATGTAACACCCCCCTCATCTCTGAATAGGGTTATTTTAAGCTTGTCTCCTTGGAGCTACCCTAATATTTTCTCTCATGACTCAAGTCACCGGGGAAGGGAGTTAGAGCAGAGGAGGGGGAAGCGGAGGGGGGGAAAAAAAAAAAAAAAAAAAAAAAAAAGGAAAAACAGAACAAAAGAGACACCTTAAAACTCCCTTCTAGATACGGCAAAGCTTCAGAAAAGATCAAAGGCAAACTGGGCTCTGCCTTACCTGGAAAAGTGTGTGGGTTGGGTGACCCTCTTTTAAGGCACTTTGAACAGAGGACGTGCACAGTGTAGTACAGGCCTGGCCATTCCTGGAGCAGGACATTCAGTTCTTCCACTAAAGGGGTAATAGCTTGCCAAGCTGTCCAGATATTTGGTAGGGACGCATGACTAGCAATAGAAAGAGTATCTGGCTGCAGAGTTCCCCTGGCAGGCCGGTAACTCACCACCACGGGCACCTTTCCCCGGTAGGCGTAGATCTGGTACTTGCCATCGGACCGCTGAACCACATGGCTGTTAATCTGGACACTGTAGCGTGCAAACAAGCCGGGTGGGAAAATGAATGGAAAGCTATATTCAATCTGCAGCTGCTCGACCACGAAGGACTGTCCGCTCAGATTGGCACCATTGATCCACGCCTCTGCATGGGGCACCTCGTTTTTCACGTAGCAGGGAAATTTGTACCAAGCAGCCGCCCCATTTAGAGGCTTGCATTTGGGTTTGTTGACACAGTAACAGAGCCCCATCTTCTCCAGCAGCTCCAGGATGAGCTGCAGATCCTCCCGGCTCTGGATGTGGGGCTTAAGGAGGAGACGGATAACGTGGGCAGGGAGGAGGCCGTGCAGCAAGAAGCCCTCCACATAATGATGGAGCTGAGTGGCCCTCAGTTCGTCAATGTGGGTGTCGCTGAGCAGTTTCTGGAGCAGCACCGTGGCATCCCGCTGGCAGAAGACATTGAGGATGTCAATGAGCCGTGGCAGATTGTGGAACACATACTCCCGCAAGGTGAGGTGCTCCTCAAAGTAGAGCAGCTTCCCGCTCTCGTGCAGGTAGGACAGGGCACTCTGGAGCCGATCCTCTGTCAGGCCCGCCTGCAAGCCTAACCGGGCAGAGTCCCACCAGCTAAGCCACAGCTGCTGAGCTTGTGGCTGGAAGTGCAGCTCCTCCAGCACTTGCCAGGATTTGGGCAACACCCGGTGCAGGTTTGGGAAGATATCCCGGTGCTCAGCCACCGAGAGGAGCTTGTCACGCAGGCGATGCACCTGGCAGCGGTCCCAGCAGCTGAAAGGCAGCACTGGAGAGAGGATCTGTGGACGGTGGTTGAGAAGGTACTGAAACTGGGCTTTCTTTCGCCGCAAGTTCTTGTCTGAGACCCCATAAAAGGCAGCGTGCGGGCTGGAGCAGCGCAGGTCAAAGTCCTGTCCCAGAGCCTCATCCACCTGCTGGACCAAGCTCTGGAGTCCCTCAGCATCCCTCTTCTCCTGCTGAGCGATCTGGTGATGGATGTCCAGGCACTTCTCTTCCAACTCCCGCTCTGCACAGAGGTCAGCGTGGGTTCCCACCATGCACACCACAGCATGGGGCACCTTGGAACCAAGCCAGTGCAAGAAATAGCCCACAGAGGGGTAGAAGCGCTGAGGGACGTAGGCACTCAAATTCACCACCAGCACATACAGGGCTCCGGGGGAAAGGAAGAAAGACTGGATCACATCATAGCTCGGGTCCCCCGCCAGCTCGTACACAATGAATGTGAGGCCCCTCTCTGCATCTGCTGTCCAGTTCATCACCTCAATGCCCTTGCTGCCTCCTGACAGACCCAGTCCCGATGGTACTTGTGAGGCATCCGGTGGCACTGACGGTGCAGGGCACGGTGTTTCCCCTTTCACTCGTTGAGAGGGAATGTGAGAAGGAACGTCCTGCCGCTCAATGGGGAGACGTTCCAGCTGCCGCACTGCAGGTACCCATGCTGAGGAAGTGTCCTGAGGCTCTAGGAAGGGGCAACAACCAAGTGACGCTCTCCCAACGTCCTGCTGCTGCCCAGGGCACTCTCTGGGGTGGGTGCTCCCTGCCTCCAGACTTCCCACATCCTCCCTCTGCCCATCCTCCTCCATGAGGCATCGTCTCAGCAAGGTCTTTCCTGCATCCTTTTGTCCCATGAGGACCAGCTTGAGGCGGGGTTTGAGGGCAGGCTGGGAGTGGGCCAGTTCCTGCTGGTAGGCTGCGATGTAGGGGATGCCTTTCATGCAGACCTCATAGGGGGGCTGGATGAGGGGGTTGTCTTTGATCTTCCAGAGGGTGACGCGGGAGAGCTGCCCGAAGCCCTCGGGCAGGATGGCAATCTGGTTGCCTTGCAGGACCAGCTCCTCCAGGCTGTGGAGAAGCACGATGGAGTCAGGCAGGTAGCGGATGCGGTTGTTGTCTAGCCAGAGGGTGCGGAGCTGGCGGAGCTGGCAGAGGTGAGGAGGCAGCAGGGTGAGCTGGTTGCGGCTCAGATAGAGTTCTTCCAGACTAGGCAGTGCCAAGATGGCAGCGGGGAACTCCCCCAGCAGATTGGAGGACAAGTTCAGCATCTTGAGCCGC